ATTCAACATTCAGAAGTACCACGAAACATAAGAAAATCCAATCGAAATGTGAAAAAGAAGCTGAAGAAGGATTTCGTTTATTATTGAAATATTTTGAATTCTCATTAGAATATCGATTACCAGAAGATTACATTTAAACTTAAGGAAGGAGGAGTTGTAGTGATTTTAGTGAAGAGATTTGAGTTACGGGTTAGGTTTAGAGATAAACGAGAAAACCAGAAGTGAGTTGTCGCTAACGAATGTATAGAAGGAAAAGACGATAATATATGGGTTCAGAATTTGTACAACCATCAACGGATTAAGTGCTTTAGAATTTACTCACATCACCTCGACTCGGTACCCCTTTTTATAGTTATTTCAGTACCATGTTTTGTAGTCTGTGAAAGGGAAATCACAAATCGAGTGTCATCAAAATACTGTTGTGTTCGATAAAAATGTCGGAATCCACCGTAACAGTTCGAGTAAGAGAACATGTATGAAGAGAGAGATGAGAGTTATCGTTTTATAGCAAACGAGTTGATTGAAATAAAATCGAGTACGAATCGGTCTGTTAGTCTTGGATCGTGAAAGGTGATAGACGTGTTTTTTTTAAAGCTATAATCCGAAGTGGGGATTTGGTGGTAATACATAATAGCAGATGGTAATACTTAATAGTGGCGACGAGTGAAAACTAATATCAATTTAAAAAGTGAAATAAGCAGTAGATATTGTTAAATTTTAGTTTTGCAGCGGTTCGTGGAAGCGTGCATGTAAGGCCGTGAAGCAATTAGAAGTTTTTTTTTTGTGATGCTAATACTGCATGTGTTTGAAAAAGGTTCATATACAGATAGTCAGTGAGCTAGTTTGAATAAAGGCAGCTGACATATTCAAAGTATATTAATTAAAATAAATCAGTTTAAGAAAGTGAAAAAAAAAAACCTAAAAGATAGCAAAAGCGGCCAGTGTGGGCACGTGGTTTGTCAGCAGAATCGTAGCCATTGTAATTTGCAAAGTCTAGCTGGGTTCCCAGTGTAGTTCGCCATTTTGTAAAGCTGAACAGAAGTGTGGAAAAATAGTTGAACAAAGCATCTGAGAAGCATGGACTAAATTGAACAAAGCAAGGAGCGGCAAACAGAAAAAGAGAATAGACAGAGGTTACTGCACTGTGAGAGTGAGATATATCGGCAGCGGTAGTGTGATTGCATCGTGATTTGTTTGAGCAGAGTGGCAAATGGGTGAACATTTATCAGCGTGAGAGTTCAGCAGCGCAGTGAGAGTTGTAATCAAAGTCCGTAGTTCGGAGAGTGAGTGTTCTATAGCCAAAGTTGAGGGAGAGTATATAATAGCGTTAGTGGTGCGAGTTCCAGAGAGTTTCAGAAGGAAATATAGTAACATCGGCGAGAAGCGTTCTGTAACGCAGCAGAAGAGAATCATAACATCGGTGCGCGGCGGTAATAACAACACTGCCGCCCGAAGAAGTGTAACGCCAGAAACAGTAAGAACCTAAAAATCAAGTAAGTCGTTGCACACTTTTTTTTTCTCTTTCTTTCTTGGTTTTATTGTAGGGTGTTATTTGGTATTTTCACCGTTAACATGTCTTCGTTGATTGGAAGTGTTGACCACTATGTACGTGGCACAAGCTTTGCTAGTTACATGAAAAGAATTGACATTTTGTATCAGTTAAATAATATTGCGGTTAATAACAGGAAAAATCTATTTATAACATTGAGCGGACCCGTGATTTTCAATGAAATTGAGCTTATTTATCCGGGACAAGAAATTTCGACGATTGTTTATGCGGAAATGATAGCTAAGTTAAAGGAAAGGTTAGACAAAGCACAGCCCAATATGATGCATCGGCATAAATTTCATGCGCGTGCGCAGGGGGTGGATGAGCCTGCAGGAAATTATGTGTTAGCTTTGAAACTTCTAGCAAGTCAGTGTGGCTTTGGCGGTCATAAGGATGAGGCCATTAAGGACAAAATTGTTTTTGGATTAAGGGATCAAGATTTAAAACATAAGCTATTAATGAAAGACGATATGACCTTGGAAGAAGTAGAACAAATGGTGATTAGGAGTGAGTTAGCTAAATGTCGTGCAAAAGAGTTGGCAGAGCGTAGTGAAGAACCTAGGGAAGTAAACTCAGTGAGATATAGATTGGGGAATCAAATGCATTGGAATGATGCGAATAAAGGAGGTAGTTCAAGTGCAAGGCCCATTTTAAGAGGGTATAATAATGGTTATCGCAACAGAAGTACTAGTCAAGAACGTCAGCACGTACAATATGGAAATAATAGATATAACCGACAAAATTATTATGAAACACAGCCACACAGAAATAGTTATCCATATAACCGCAGATACCGAGATGAAAATCCTCACTTTAACGTGATTTGCAATTTCTGTAGAAAGCGAGGCCATGTAAAGCGTAACTGTTATCAGTTTAAAAACCAAAAAGTTGTTAACTTTGTGGAACCGGATCCTGAAGATATTAATAGTTATGATTTTAAACGTTTACAAATCAGAGATTCAGATAACGAAGAAGAAGATTACCCGTGCATGATGATTGCGAGTAGTCGCTTCAGTAAGCCATGTCTTGTAGAAGTGTTAGTCGAGGGCATTAGTTTAAATATGGAGATAGATTGCGGCGCAGCGATTACAGTCATCAGTTTTGATACCTACAAAAAATATTTCAAGAGTTTAGGAGTCACCAGTTGTAACAGTCGCTTGGTTGTAGTTGATGGACAACAGCTTAATATTTTTGGCGAAATAACGGTTAACGCGTCTGTGAATAATGTTCAGGATCTAGTTAAATTGATTATATTAGACAGTCCGAGAAATTTCGTTCCTCTGCTAGGCAGAAACTGGCTTGATAGATTCTATCCTAACTGGCGAAAAACTTTTGGGAATGCTATGAATATTAATGCAATGCGGAATGATCCGGAACAAAATTCGGCGCAGCAGATAGTCATGGGATTTGAAGCGGATTTGGTGCTTAGGGAGGAAAAACCAATATTTCGGAAAGCGTATGACGTGCCGTTTAAATTAAGAGAAAAAGTGATTGAACATCTGGATTCTCTTGAGAAACAAAACGTGATTACTCCAATTCAGATACAATTGTAATGCTCACCGGAACCAACTAAGGATTATCCCGAAACAAACCAGCACGAAGATTCAAATCCCTATACAAAGAGAAAAGCGAAGAAGAGAATTCTCCGAGTCTGATGAGGAGGAATTTTATGGATTTCCAGAGGTTTCAACGACTCCCAAGAATTCAGATATTGAAAGTAGGCGTTTCAAGTATGCGAGACGTAGTCCGATAGCAACGCGCAGTTATTCGCGGGAAAAGAAACAAGATGTTCAAGCAGCAGAAGATCAACGGAAATTCCAGCAAAAATTACAATAGCCGTAAATAAGAGAAGAGAATAACAAGAGAAAAGTGATACAATCAAATATGCTTCGCTAGCAAAATTACAACTTATCAGGTTTTTTGCTTAATGATTTATAAATTAATTAAATGTTATTAGTTAAATGTTATCAGAAAAACTGAGTTCAGAATTTAACTTAAATATGGACAGGAAATAATGTTGTGTAATGAGTTCGAATGTAATAAGTATAGAATTTTCATTTTGCTTCTATGTAAGAAAGATTATGAATATTATTGTCAAGACTAAAGGAGGAAGGATTGTTGTGTTCGATAAAAATGTCGGAATCCACCGTGACAGTTCGAGTAAGAGAACATGATGAGAGTTATCGTTTTATAGCAAACGAGTTGATTGAAATAAAATCGAGTACGAATCGGTCTGTTAGTCTTGGATCGTGAAAGGTGATAGACGTGTTTTTTTTAAAGCTATAATCCGAAGTGGGGATTTGGTGGTAATACATAATAGCAGATGGTAATACTTAATAAATACATGGCGTGTTAAAAGATTGAGAACGTGAGAGTAAATTTTCTCTCTTAAATTTGATTTTTTTTTTGGCTCTCTGGGGACTGGTAGTAAAGCGGGTAAAACTGTATGGGAAAAATCATTTTTATTTAATTTATTTCTTTAGGCTGTGCATCGAAAGTGAATTATTCTCACTTCTCTCAATTTCTATATGGGGATTTTTATCACATCCTACCAGTGGAACAGCGTCATCTCTGTGGAAAATGGCCGGACGATATGATTAATTCGTCGTAAAGATGCAAGTTGTCTTTTCTCTCACTATATTTCTAATAAAAATGTTAATAAGCGTTAAAGACTAAAAGTGTATTTTATTGAATTGTTATATCTCGAAACAATAATTAACACATGATCCAAGGATGAATAATCTGCAGCTAGTTAAAACACCTTCTTAAAGAAGTTGATTTTCTTTGTTATCAGATAGTATTAAAATAATCGATTATTTCGATTAATCGACTATTTCATGTAGATTAATCGATGTCGATTACTATCAATAAAAAAAAAGTAATCGATTAGTAAATAATCTATTAGTTGGGAAAATCGGACATCACTCGTGTACAAAGCTAGAAAATAATAAGTGATTCTTTCTGCAAAATTCTCACTCAGCTTACTCAGCAGAATGCAATTGAAAATGGCTCAGCATGCGAAAAATAATAGGTGACACTAAAAATCATTCATGTAACGCTCAGCTGTCTGTTTTGCTTAATTCTACGTTCATCGAAGAACATAGAAGTAATCAGAATAAGAACGAAATCAGCGTGACTCGCACAAGCTACTGCTCGTTTCTGATGTTGCATGCGTGTGAGTGAGTAGTAAATGCATAATGAAACGATTTTTCCCAAGCTTGATCACCAAATTGTTGCTTCCAACGGCGATGGCAATAACACCGACCAAGCAGCAGGCAATGAACAAACCGCACCGAAAAAAAAGCCTCTGATGTGATCGATAGCGAGTGGTACAAACGTTTGCCGGTTTCGACAACAGCTGAGAGCGAACTGATGCGAGAGCACCTCAGCACGTAGTTTTCAGTTTACTCAAAGGGCTATGATACAAAAAATAACAATATTCCTTTTGCGGTTTTTGTTTCAATTTCATGTTTATGATCACGTCACTTCTTTGATGCAAACTATCAGTATGTATCAAGTATTGTTACATTACTATCAATATGATGTTATAAGTTATTCCTTCGCTACTTATCTTTACTTTCTCCCTTTTTGGAACGACTCACTATAATTAAAGAAAACAACCAGATTAAATAGCAGGAAGATTTGCGTAGGAAAACCAAAATGGAACTTTTTCTTTACCATGTTTCACTCGTAGTTCTTACATCTTATACTTTCATTGTTTCACACTCAATTATACACAAAAAATCACGAGGAAAAACACAGTCCAAACATTTGCGTATACCCTTCATTTGTTTATTTCGCTCATCATGTTATAGTAACTTATTGTTATTTTTTATCATTATTTACTATCATTAATCTTTGTCTTTACTGTTTTCTTCCATTTTAGCACATTTTTACGAAACCCTAAAGGTTCGATTTATCGACTTTAAACAGAATTGCTTTTCCTCGGAAACATTGCTACCCTTGTTAAAGCTACTTGAGATAAAGAACAAAACTTATTCTGTGATGTTCCTGAAACATGTTTGGTTTGAATATGTGAATGTCGATCAAAGTACATCCATACAAATGCCGTGGAATATTTGCGGACATATGTAATACCCATCGGAAATCGTAAAATGTACTTTACACTCATCTGAATGGAGGATGTGTGCCTACTTATCTTGTCAACAGAAGCCTCCTGTCAGCGTATCTGTTTTCAGTAAAGCTGGTTTTCAATGGTCGTTATTTGTTTTTCTTTCAATCGCGCTGTATCGTATCAAACTACACAATCACTACAAATGTTTTGAGTGTTAATATCTTCTTCTTTTTTCTCGACTAATACATACACATATAAATTTTACTATTTACTATTTTACTCTCTGTCACTTTATGTACCTATCTCTTTCATTCATATGATCTCAATCTCGCGTTGCAAATAGTCTTAGTTTGTTAATATTATTTACTGTATATGTTACAAGAAATCTTTTATACAAGAAAAACAATTTCAAAAAATGTACAATAGAACTAATTAAATAAACCTATCAAAATAAAATCAACATAAATACACAATTACTAGTCTTTTGTTTTTAGGACTTTAAACTTCGTTACTATTTAAAAAGTTATATGCAATGTTCACAGACAAAACGAGCCCAGCCTAAACTTAACCAGACTCGTGTTTAATAGTTCGTTCCTAGTTATTTAACTTATTACGAATTTCTTTCCTTCTTCAACTAAATGAGCAGAAAGTTGCACAAGCGTTTCAGTAATTTTTTCCTCTAGTTTCCGCCCCAGGAAGTTTTTCTACTTATGCGATAACAAGCGGTTCATCATCGGAGAAGCTTCGAGGCACCTCCTGATGTTCGTGTTCATCGTCATCCAAGCTGTCACCAATACGTGTAGCACCCGTCCGTGTGTCGTAATGTGAATTAGCAAATCGACTGAACGAAGTCTGCAACCGTCGATGCCTTTGCACCACATACACTACGGTCACGGCTAGCACCATCGCTATTATCGTAGGCACTATCCACAACCAGGCAGATGATATTGATGACTCCTGTACTAGACCTTGGAAATCATGCTTGGCTAAATATTCCATTTCGACAATGTCGGAATAGTATCCCTGGGAATAGAAAAGAAATGTATGGTTTTAGTTATAGGAACCCTAAACTACAAACAAAAAATATTACATCGACTGTCTTCAATCTCACTCCAACGGTGAACATGCTATCCGTTAACAGCCCGGCTAGACGTTCTGGATTTAGGAGTATTGGTGGTTCCTTGCTGTCTAACGTCACCAAAGGTGGAATGGTTTTATTAACACCTTTGCCTTCATATACCACTGCTTGATAGGTGAATCTGTGAGGAAAATTAAGTCTTTAGAATAGGCAATTCCGAAAAATCTTCAATGCAATTTCTTACGAAACATCCTTAAATTCGTTTACTGGCTTCCAGTTAACAACGTAACTCCCGTTGATTCCTAGATATACCTTCAATCGCGAAGGTGCAGGTAATGGATGCGAGTAGGCAAACGTAGATACCTGCTGGGCATTTGGAACGTTCGTCGAAACGGAAATCTCGTAGGTAGCACCTAGTGGTATACTACGGAACACATGCTCCAGAGTTTTATTAACCGACGCTGGCACATTCACCGACGATGTTATATTTTTCGTAAGTTCGCGAACGGAGATCTGTAAATAAAACATTCGATTACGTTAACGGACTATCTTAAGAATAATCAAAACGTCTTCCTGGTATCATATCTGAGCAATGAAAAAAAAAATGACAACTACTTCTAAACAATGTGATGCTTACCACTCTATTATATTACCCTGAACGGAAAAGTTATAAAGAAAACAGTGCTGTAAATTATCAAAATCAATTGTACATTTTTGATGAAAATGAGAAAAACAGTTATCCGCTATCAAAAGGGTCATTCTTCGAATGGGCGATATCAGTTGCTTAATGGATCGTTCTCATTTGAGAAATGCTTGATATCATTCAATTAAGTGTAACTACACATAAACAGAGCTCTGGTCGACATTCCAGCGAAAAAGTTAAGTTAACCTGACACCAACCTGACTTCTACTAAACCCCAATCCGATATTGACCCAACATTGACCCGACATAAACCCAAAATTGACCCGACATTGGGTCGACACCGACATTAAATTTGCCTTACATTGATCCAACATCGGATCGACTTGTCTGTTCAGGACCATTTTGCTGGGTTTCTTCCATGCTCCACTGGCGTATATCAAATGATCTTCTTTTATTTAACGTCGGTCTCTGTTCCGCAATCTAGTGCCAATCACCGACGGACATCGATTGCCATCCATTGACGGCAATCGAATGTGTAGGAAGGCAGCTTCCACACCTGTGAAGGATATCGCACCCATTCAAACACACATGAATCGGGACCAACGGCTTTACTTCCTGTCTCAGAAAAATCCCACCGAACTCGGCTGAGATTGAACCCAGACCCATTGGGGTGAGAAAGCAGTTACGCTTACCACTACACCACCGGCGCCGGCTACGACAACGATTGGTTATGTATTTTCATCGGTTTTTCAATAATACGCTCTCACATATCGCAACAATACAATCGGACGTGAAAATCTCTATGGGGGTAAGCTCCAACTTGGATTGACTTTTAATACCGACCCTGTTTGGATGATCTGCAAAATATTTGCTTAGAGTCGTGTTGATTAACTCTGATGTCGATATCAAAGCAGCCGGACATCTTGATCGAGATTTAATACGGGAGTAATAAAAATACCGGTTGGCGCTTACTACCATTAATGTACCATTTGAATAAGATTGGATGTAAAATTTGTTTAGTATTAATATTATAATTGTTTACCAATAGTAACATCATTCACTGGCAGTCAGACTGCCAGTACAGTCCGATTTCTTCACTCGCTCGCTTTCGCTAGTGTTCGCTCTTTTTTTTGCGTTAAGTAGTAGTGACGCTTCATTTGACCCTGACATGGGGAAAAAATCGAGAGTGCCTGTCAGAAAACAACGCCGCCGAAAACCAATCGGCAGCAAGGAAACTTGCTGTTGGCGAACAATCGCTATGCCGTCCTGGAGCAGGGCGACGTATCGAAAATTAAAAAGGAGAAATTACCGCTGTTCTTTGTGATGGGAAATTTACTGTTACATCGATAAACGTCTCCAATACACCATCCGCCTGTGCAAGGAAGGCTACAAGCTGATGGTTCCGGTGATGAACCACTACAAGGCCGTTGAGACTGAGACGTTGCTAAAGCAAGAAAACGTGGAGTACTTCTCTCATGACATCGAGGCCAACAAGCCGCACAAGGTCGTTTAACGTGAACTTTCGACACGGAAAACAACCCTTTGTCGGAAGAACTGAAGACAAATGAACTCAAACCGGTACAGCTCTACAAGATGGCTCGTCATGACACCTCTCGTAAGTAGCGTAAACAGCTATATATGGGAAATTTGGAGAAAAAATCAACATGCCTGAAGGATCTCCAGAACATTCGGACCCAGTTCCACATTGTGGTGAAATGGGAACGCTAGCCACTAGGTCCACTGTAACGTCACCCAATGCACGAAGTGCTTGCTGTTCGGAAGCAGAACTAAAAAATTTCACATGGACAGTTGGTGCTACAAATGTGACAAAAAAAACACAACTCTCGCAGATCCCAAATGCGCCAACTGTAGGGCAACACACCGGACTACATACAAGAAAGACCTGTTAGAAACGAGCGGAATTTATTGCAATCCGAAAAAAAGATCCCGGAGAAGAACTTTCCTGCCATCGTCGAACGGCGTTCCGCTTCCGATTAACAACCGACAGGCTGCATGGGGTCCGTCATCTGCTGGGGTGGTCACTCCTCCGATAAACTCGAGTCAGCAAACTTTTAGGGCAACCACCGAAGTACCTCCCTCGCCTCCGGGGCTATTCTGGCGTCACAATCACCACCGAACTAAAACACTACTGCTCTGATCACAGCGTTGTACTACCCAGCTTGCCATCGTTTGCGTACCTGTAAAACCCGATACGACCAGATTTACACTCTATACACTTAGAAAAAATCACCGACTTCGGTAATTCATTTACTGAATTCTCAACAGCTGAACTAATCGAGAACATTACCAAAAAATCTGTAAACTGGATCAGCAAAATTAGCTGTCAAATTTACCGAACGATCGGTAACGTTTACCAATGTGCATTGCTTGATTTGTAGTCGACTTTACCGGAGAAGTGTAATTTTGAGAACGATATGCAAATCGAAAATTACCGAGAGATCTGTAATTTTTTAAAAAGGTAACCGACTCAACTGTATGTAATTTGCTTTAATATTGTTTCAATGTGGCGGTCACTGCAACCCATGCAAAATTTTGGCTGCAGTCGTGATCAATGTGTTATAGCGAATTCGTTTATTATTCAGTTCCAACCTGGATCGGGTATCAGGATTGGGTCTGCTTGTTTTCTGACAAACGTCAGTTTGCTCGTTTGTTTTTAAAACCTAGCTCAGGTTGAGGTTCGCACTGACAAAAAGTTCGGTTTCGCTATTAGTGTTGCAAATTGTTTGAAGTTTTTGCAGGAAGGATTCGGCGCTACACTGAAAACAGAGAAGCATTGGATGAAGATTCCAAATGCTGTTTTCAGATCGTCGCCAACGGGAATGGAACTTGGACCGACAGAAAAAAAAAACAGACAACAACATCGGCCATCTGTAATCGGTATTTAGATAACGGAAATTAATTTACTTACGGAAAATATCTACGATTCGCTCATGTTGGTGTTGCATAACAGCCTCCATAATTTCACCTTTTTATTTTTCACAAGCACGAACATTTTTAAAGTCGATCGAAAATCACAATATGGTGGATTTGACGTTTACCAAGACCGTTACCGAACTCAGTAATGGAACGCTTTGTTTACCGAAACATCAGTTAAATATTTCACCGAAGTCAGTGATGAAACTGATTTATAGATCTGCCGGTTTCGTTTACAGTTTTCAGTAATACAGCGAGAAAATACCGAAACATCTGTAATTTTTAGCATTACCGATCTAAGACGATAATTTTTTTTACTGAACTCATGGTTTCTGTTTAAGTGTGTAGATTTTTTCGTCATTGAATATAGCCTCTGAAGTGTTAAAGATAGTTAACTGGAACGCTGGTTCGCTTAAGGACATCGATTTCGTGGAGTTCTTCAACGAACGAAACATCGACATAACCGAACATCACCTGCCGCCCGAGATAAATCATGGAACCAGCTTCGGGAGGAAGGAGTAACTGTAACCGTCTAACTTAAATCATCTAGGCCAGGATAGTGAACCTCAGAAACAATGATTTTGATAGTCGAATCCACGCTCTCCCAGAACGTGCTAAGGCGTTTTGGAAGTGAATGATTGAATTGGAATTGCATTATGTCAATCAGTCGCCATCAAGCGAACGGATGTTCACTTACAAATACCAAATGCAACACCTTAATAAGATCACTGTATCCACTTATCAACAGGAAGTTCACCCTGTCCCTGAAAAACAGGATTACTGTCTAAAAACAAATTATCCTTAATCGAATACGGTATGCCGAGCTGGGAGAACTGTGCTAAATGCCATTTCAACTGCAAAGGATCCTAAACAAGATCCTAAGGATGATCCTGAACAGTCCTACTTCTTCTTCTTCTTCGCATTCCAAGCTTATTGCTATCACATATATAGGTCCCAGTCCTCCGCAGACTTGAAATTCTGAGCTCCATCTCCTGATTGGTCTTCAGACACTGGAGGAGCTAAGAAAACTCTCCCAGGAAATGTTCAGAGGTTGCTGTGGGCGATCCGATCAGGGATCTGGCACGGTAGGTTATGTTAGATTGAGTAGGTAGATTATCAATATGAAAACAAATTAATTAATTAATTAATTTATCTTTATTAGGGAGGCTTTCAGCCTGGGGCTGGTTCGCCTCCACTGAAAACAAATTACTAAACACGCCTTAAAACGCCAAAAAACAAACTCAAAATAAGAATGAAACCAAAATAATAACGATGACATATCAAAACCCCAAATAGAGAGGATTCTACAACCACACATTAGGGGGCGACCACGTCACGAGTTCAAATCTCACCCTCGGACAATTAACAAATGACCCAAGAGCGTTAAAATGACTATAAACACACACACACATTATGAATTAGTTACTCTGTAACCTCCAAAAGATCAACATTGCCCGTTCGACTGAAAACCGATGCGAAGTTTTGACTGGTAGTACTTCCCGCATAAACGCGAACCATAACTTGACATTTGCCTAAAATGGTTAAAAATCGTTTATAATCCCTGCTAAACTTTCACTGAATTCGTTATGGAACTTTACATGAACGTTTGGGTGATAAAGTTTTAACCTTAATGGTTTTTTTGGAAGACAACCTTACCTTGGTTGTTAAGAACCATTACCATTCAAAATAATTGTTTTCTCCTTACATTTTCGGAAATAGAACTATATTAGAACCTTTTTACTTATGGTTTGAGAACTTTAATGGTAGTCAGTAAGGTCCATCGATGGTTTTGTATTATCGGTCAAATTTACGTGGAATATATCACGAATTGGTAATCTTTAATTTACAGGCAACAAATTCGCGATTTATTCCACATAAAGTTGATCGATGTTACAAAACCATCCATGGACCTTACTGACTACCCTAACCATTACCATTAAAGTTCTCAAATCATAAACAAAAAGGTTGTAATATAATTCCTTTACCGAAAATGTATGGAGAAAACAAGAATTATGGAAAGGTGAATAAATTTAGAAATCATCTTTGACAGAAATATTCCTTTTTTTGTTTAAACTCATTCAGAAAAGAGAGGTAAAGCGCGGGTTGTGCTTAGTAGGACGGAAATTAGATCTACTTATACAAATTGTCATAAAATGATTTCTTGTTATTGAAATTTGCTTGAAAGAAGTCGTTGAGTTGGAAGACTCTCTTTTTGGGCCATCGTCCTTAAAACCAACCACGAACATGCGTTGAGAATCTTTGCTTTAGGTGAGCTACCACTCTTTTCTGGAATATAGGTTTGAAAATAACTGATAATTGGCCAACCCTCGCTATAAAAAAAAACAGAGGAATCACTCTAAATAGATCCTAGTGAAAATAATAACGGTGTTCGGGAAAATTGATCTCGGAGAATCGTACCATTCATAATATAGATTCATACTTACAATGTACTGTGGATGGTTGGTTGATTCCAGTGCGCAGCTATGCTTCCACTGGATAATCATTTCAGATGAGTTGTGACTAGTTCCAGTAATATCAACGGTTAGTTCCTTTGGTGGCAATGTATTATTATAGGGGGTTTCCAGCTTGAGAGGATTTCGTCCCAAAGGACCGGGGCCGATTGGGCCTACAATTCCAACGCTAACCACATATGATTCACACGGTCGCAAGTTTGTCAATTTGTAGCTGGTAGCGGTAGTATTGATTCTGGATGCTATTTAGGAAAAATAAAACGGTTACATTTAAAACCAGGGGAAGGCCGAAGATTTACCGATGCTCAATTACCTTCAAAAAGTTGATCCATATTGGTACCATAGTAGATTCCATAAACCAATTTACCGTAGCTGCCATGTGGTTCGTCCCATTCAAGCAGAGAATGATCTTGGGTCTGCTCCTTCAAATTAATATTGATAGCAGGCAGTGGATCTCCACCGAACTGAACGAGAGTTGTTTCATGCTGACCAACGTATTGCTTAACGCACGCAGCAACCCTAATGACATACTGCGTTCCGGGAACCATGTTATCTAACGTCACCGTAGAATTTTTAACCCAAATTGAGTTTAGAAGTGGATACGATTGAGGTAAGATTGGTTGAATCATATAACCATCAGCATTGTTGACCTGTTTCCATTCCAGTGTGACTGACTTCTTCGTAATGTTTACCACATTAATTTTGCTAATTTTCTCTATTTTAGAAGTACCATCAAATTTGATCTGCACCATTTTTGATGAAACGGATTCATGTTTCCCATTGCGTGCCCTCACCCAAAATGCATAGACCATGTCTAGCTTGAATTCCGTTTCGATTATGAAACTGGTTTCTGATGCCCCTACCTTCACGTGCTCCGGTTCACGAACAATCTGCGGCTGCCAACTATAGTATATCGTGTAACCTTGAAGTTGGCCATTCACTTCGTTTGGTGCTTGCCAGGTCAATTGAATGCTAGAACCATTTAGCTGAACGACAGAAACATTCAGAGGAGCACTGGGAACTAGAGAAAAATAAATTTATTAGCATTAACACTTAAATTCATAGGTTGAAAGCACTTACTCCCTTCGCTGGTTGCTATTTGGTAGTAAATATACGGAGGTGTGATTTTGGTTTGGTTTTTAACTCTCACATACGTGGTTACGTTGTAGGGAGTATATGGCTTCAAATTCGTAAATCGGTAGTCTGTCTCGTTGATCCAGTTGCTGACATTTTTCCACTCTCCATTGTTATAGATGGAAGGCAAGTATTCGAAGGTAACGTCCCGCGGCAGGGGAATCCACCAAAAGATGAGGAAGCTGGTGGAATTGAGCGAGCGCTCGTCAACACCAATTTGTGTAACCTGTCAATAATGATAGATGTTACATAAACTGTATAGGTACACTAGTAATTATTATTATGATCAAACCTGATAATGCCTGGTCTTCGTTTTGTCGCAGTTTTCCTCATCTTTTCCATCATAACAATCGGGTTTTCCATCGCAAAGCGCGGTCAATGCAAAGCATGTGTTATCGCAAGCAAACACACCAGGGCTGCTGGTGCAATTGTTACCAGGTGTGGAGGACCTAAGGTGATATACAATTTGAGCTACTGAAAGTTTCACTAAGCTGTCAATACTTACGGGCTTGGCTTAAACTTGCAATCTTCATCACTTCCATCGGCACAATCTATAACATTATTGCAGTACTTTTCCATCGGCAGACACATGCCGTCGCTGTTACATCTGAAATGCTTATTGCTACACTGCTTCTGCGTTGGACAGTTGTCTTCATCTTCGCCTTTGTTGCAATCTTTATACCCATCGCAAACAAACCGTTTCGAAATACATTCTCCAGAGTCGCAGCGGAATTCATGCAGTCCACAATTGTGTTCCTTCTTTCTGGTTGGCATTGGCTTCGCGGTAGTACTTATTGCAGGTTGCGTTGAATTACATCCCGCTTCATCCGATCCGTCTCCACAATCATTCACTCCATCACATTTCCACCAGTATGGCACACATTTATCATTGGCACATTTAAACATCCAATCGTGACATGAATCGCCCGGAAGGAAGTTAATTCCAGGCTTCTTTGGCACCTCTGTAGATAAGCTACAGTTCTTCTCATCACTGCCATCCTTGCAGTCCTTCTCTCCGTCGCATTGCCATGTCTTGTAGATACAGCGATTGTCGCTTACACACATGAACATCCATGGTTCACACTCCTTCTTGCTGCAGTTAATTTCATCTGATCCATCATGACAATCTTGTTCTGCGTCACAACGCCACTGCTTCGGGACACAGGTATTTGTTCCATTGCATCGAAACTCGTCCGGTTTACAGTCCACGAAAGTTGTGCTATTTTTGTTACAATTTGCTTCATCGGTCCCATCTCGACAGTCGTCCTCTCCGTCGCAGAGCCAACTTTTATTAATGCATCGTCCATTGCCACATGTATATTCGTCCGATTTGCATGTGGAACCCCTGCAGTTCTGTTCATCGGACCCATCCAGACAATCCCGATCATAATCACAAACGAAGTACTTCGGCACACACTGTCTGTCTGATTTACACGTGAACATGTACGGTGGACATGGAGGCTTGTCCGATGGACAGCCCTCTTCGTCCGATCGATCTCCACAATCATCATCTCCGTCGCATTTATAGATCAATGGTACGCAAATGCTATTTTTACAATCGAAAAACTTAGAACCACAGGTGGTTCCTGAACGAGCACAGGTATTGTTGGTAAACGGTGTCAGACCACCTGGACAAAGGCACTGTCCTTGTGCATTCTTTTCCATGCCATCTGGGCACAAGCAACTGTAGCCTTCTCTCGGCGCACCGACACAAATATGCGAGCATTTATTTCCACTTGAACAAGCGTTTGTTCCTTCCTGAATAGCATGACCATAGATTTTCAGATCCATCGAATTCATCATTTCCTCCGCGATAATGTTAATCATAATGCCATGATCCTTATCGGCGGAATACACGGAGTTCATTTTCCAATCGTCCCAATACATGAGATCTTTCATCACAGCCACCGCAAATGGATGCGCTACGCGAGAATCTTGCTGTAGAATTTTGATAAAATTCTTTCCATTCAAATCACTACTGGCAATGTAATCCTTGCTCGCATCAACCCAATACAATCGCTCGGCGATGTAATCAATCGTGACCCCATTCGGCCAAACGACTTCAGGCTTCGAGAACAAAACCTTTATGTCGGTTCCGTCCAAATCTGCTCGCGATACCGACGGTCTCAGCGCATTCCAATCCGTCCAGAACAGGTAGCCCTGCAACGGATGTACAACGATTCCTCGAGGTTTGTTCAAATTTGGTGCATCGATAATTGTTCTCCTCATTCTTCCTAGATGTGGTGATGTCGTTTTGACCGCTTCAATTTTCAGACGCATTCCATCTACAAAATACAACAATTCCGATACCCAATCATATGACATTCCTTCCACCGAAGACAGTCCAGTATCCACCAACAGCTCCGGTGGTTGATCGCCATTCAGACACTGCCGACCGATCACGTCGGTCATAATATCAGCCCAAAATACGCAGTTGTGTTTTATGTCAAATTCAATCGCAATTACATTTTTCAATCCAGAAACAGGGAGCACTTCCTTAGTTCTATTGCTTAAGTTGATGCGCGAGATCTTATCCCTTTGGGCGATTACGAGAAAAGCATTCGGTTCTTCCATCGGGCAGGGAATCGACTGCGGTAGATACTGTGTGGAATATCCGTCAATACAAACATCTCCTTCAATCTTACGATATCCTTTGGTACGTTTATAATACTGGCCAGGCATGCAAGTGCTCGGAATTGCGTACGGATCATAATTTGTCACTGTCTTGTTTCGAATGCAAGGGTTGTGCTTCGTGGCAGTTCGGCTAAATCCAAAATCACAGTCGAAATCCCAGTGATGGCATTTGCATATTTCCTGTCTGATTGGCCGTTCGTAGTCGATTCCATTGTAACAGTTGGCATGTGGCTTTCTTCGTTGATATGTATCTTGTAAACCCAAAACGCACGGCATGGTCGCATTGGGTCCTGGTGTCCAGAACTTGTAATCGTCTTCCGTACAATTGGACGTGAAGGCTTTCTTCAGATCAACTTTGATAATCAACCATCTGTGCTCGTCTTGCTCCGATCCAAACAGAGTGAAAATGGTCGTGTTTGTGTCCGGCTCGGTCATCAGTCCATATACTTTTAAATTAGTCGAATGAAAGTCGGTTGACATCCACTTTTCGCCTTCATCGGTTGAATATAAAATTTCATTTGTTTCACCCTTCGATTTGAAATACTTCACTGCCACCAGAATTCCACCGTGGTCGCCCATGTTGAAAAAGTGGTAATCCTTAAGTATCTGTTTCCACGTTAGACCAGCATCCCGGGAAATATACACACCGGGGTGCCCCTTGAGTGATTTTCCTACCACCCCAGATGCCATAATTACACCAGGTGCCGATTTGGAACTCATGATGCTTACCGATCTAAGGAATGAGAAGTATTTATTTTCGATTACTAATTACAGATAGATTATTAACCTACCTGGTCACCGGATAGAGCGAGCTAAACTTCTGAGACAGATGCAAACTGCAATCTTTTTGGCAGTTTTGGATAGGCAATCCATCATCGTCTGTCTTTGGAGCGGTTATTGGGCTCCACGATGCCCCGTGATCGAAAGTAATAAGCGATATTAATGCATCCGGAGAAATGGTTTCGCTCAATGGAATACGATTAATTTTTGATGCAATGTAGATTCCGCGTAATCCTTCAACCTTGTACAAGTCCGTGAACGCACCGTCCGACGATTGACTACAAACGAAAGATCTCTCAACTATAGTTCATCCAACACAATGCCGCTTGTGGGGCTGATCCAATACTTACACTAGCCAACTCGTCCGCCAATTCATCTCCGGCACATAGGTAAAGATGTTTTCCAAACTGGGAACAAACTTTATATCCGTCATATCCGCATTTGATTCGGACACATACAAATGCGCTATTCGTTCCGTGTGCACCACAGAAATCATGATTCGGCGCCCATCAACGTCGGCCACATGATAACCTTTCATATCCAGTTCGGTCTGGAAGTCTGCTTTCACAAACTTACCACGTTTGTAGGAAATGAGTAGTTGCGTGCTATTTGGCAACCGTTGGGACGCAAACATGAAATCCTTTTTGATATGGAAATCCTCTACCTTTTCAATTAAAACATTGAACTGATTGGTGTTGTTGCGCAAAGTGACTGCGTTGTAGAAAATAACGGAGGATGTATCTAGAAGAAAACAAAAAATAATCACAACGTCACAGTTGAAAGGTTACTCAGAACAGAGATAGCTTTTTGTTTGTCCCCAAGTGTCCCCAGAATGTTTAAGTGACTACACTGAAAAACATCCGCAATGCTTCAACTGATTATTGTATTGCTCGAGCTCTTAAACAATATGCTGTCGAATTTCAGATGATTTCCTTATGGTTGAATTCGTCATCAACTGATGATCATCACTGTCCATGACCAAATAAAGGATATTTTTTATTTGAAAATTGGATGTAAGCCAAGCAGACCTTCTATCACCTCTTGAAACGCGGCATACAAGTTTTGTTTATACAAGATGATAGGTTCTTCAAATGTTACGTTAGGTAGTGATTAATATAGTGATGGAGAATATGTCCCTCGAATTCATGGAGCATTGAAAAATAAAACAAAATCTAACATGTGGTGGTAAACAATAACGAACAAAGCTTGGTGCACAGGTAAACAAATGAGGCACGCGACGCCTCTGCAATGTTCGTACCACCTCTGTTAGCGATGGCTATGCTTCCACCTCGTTTGTCTACTCAGAGTACCAAATGACGTTCGATAGAATTATTTACATCATCGTTTTGAATGATTTGTGTTAAGGGGCTGAACCAATACCAAATGCATTTCAATTGAAGATGACTATCTTCCTTCTTCTTCTTATTCGCATTTCAAGCTTATTGCTTAGCGCATATTAGCTTATTGCATGCTCTCAACTTAGTGTTCTATAAATGCACTTCCATAGTTATTAATTGACAGCTTTCGATGCCAATTACCAATGCATGAATTTGTATATTGTGTGGCAAGCACAATGATACCTTTATGCCCAGGGAAGTCGAGAAAATTTCCAACCCGAAAGATTCCCTCGACCGGACCGGGAATCGAACTCGCCGCCTCCGCCTTGGTAATACCGTGTCTTTACTGACTAGGCTATAAGGCCTTCCTACAGAGAGCATTATGCATTCCAACTGAAGACCCTATCTTTTCTCATAACAATATGCATCCTGTATTCGAGAAGAAAACGCTCTGGTTTCAAAATAACCGTCATCTGGTTGCAGCTATCATTCGAAAAGGCGATTTCGATGTTTTGATTTGAATTGTCTGAGGTTTCATCCGAACAGAGGACGGTGGTTTGGTTGGTACAGTGTATGTCGGACGGATTAGTCTATGGTGACCGAATAAACACCCGGCAATCAGAATCAATTTTACTGGGTTTTCGGATTGCTGAAAAAGTCGGTAAAAATTTAAATGAACGTTATCCGTAAGAAATCAATGAAATCGGCAAATTTAATGTTTTATCATTAATTAGGGTATACATAACATAGTCTGTAGAAGTTTGGAATAAATTGTCAGATTTTTGAATTTCCAACAGATTTTTAAACTTTTGCCGACCAGTTCCGCAATTCAAAAATAACTGGGCAACTATAAGCTGGATTTGTGTGCGAGCACTTGAAGAGTGGCACTTCTGTTTCTAACTTCTGTTTCTAACTTCTGTTTCTAACGTGGTCCAGAGCCTTGTTCGATTGATTCAGAATATGAACCAGGCGTTTTATTAAGCCATTTTGTTGCTGCAATCAAACCACGGTATTCGGAACTAACAGTACGGCGGTGTTATGCATTAGTAAAGATGACTCGATATACTAACGTTTGCGATAAGTATTTAGAAAAAAAAAGGCGAAAGTTGGACAGTCCTTAAGAAAATCATCACTAATGATACCAAATTCAGTGGAAAATTCGAATGATTTCTAATCAAATTGTTGGATTCAAGCCCTAATTACATCATGAATACAAATTGAATATTAAAAGTAAAATTTTGAATCTTATGAAAGAAGATTTAAAAAATGTTCGTTTTGAAACCGAAATAAAACTGATTGGGGTAAAATGAGCACCCTTATCGGGGTGGTATGAGCGCCCTTGTAAACAACCGGTAAGACTATTCTGTTCTCTTGAGGCTTTATGCAGGATCAACAAATGCAGCATAAAAAAATTCAAAAGAAAGCATTATTTTCAGTAGAATAAATTAAATTTAAGAAGTACTGCATATTTAAGGCTTTATATTTTCAGTCTTGTGAATTATTTTATTTTTTACCGAAGCAGCTGCATCAAAACGTGATTTCATATGATACAGTCATATTCATAAAAGGAATAATGCAAAATTGAAGAATTTAAGTAGAACATGCTTGTTTTGAATTTAAGTAGCTCAGATTGCCCCGAATGGACCTAAGTAATATGTAATATATTTAATAAAAAAATAACATTGTGTCATATAAGAAATCAATAACCATTTATGTAGCCGCTGAAGGAATATTAACGATAACTTTTTAGAAACTACCGATAGACCTTATTTTCTGACTCAGATATCTTATTTTATTTATTTTTTTGCATTCTAACATTTTTTCCTAACATCACACTAGAGAAAAGTATTTTTTTAGACTAAAAGTAAATTGATAGTTCAAGTAGGGTTCAAGAACTAACCATTATGTAAAATATGTTCAATAAGTTGATTTTTAAGCGGGTGGCGAAATTGCCCCACTCTTCTCGATACATACAAAATGTTCAAGTTTGTTATCAAAACCACGGTACAAGGTGCTGCGCGAACTCAAAGCAGAGATAGTTAAATATTTACTTACTGGTTGGCTCCTTTCTTTCCACATAGAGATGAATCGGTACTCCCTCGCCAGACGACCAGATGTAGGATTTGACATAGCTTTGTAAAAGTGTGAAAGATGCACCGAAATCCGTTGAGTAGTAGAGCTGAAAAACAAGAATATTCATCAACAAATGCATGGAATACGACGTAACGGCGCATTTAATCATCAAAAGATAAGGATTTAGCAAGAAAAGATTGAGTATTCTTTTGTAAGCATATTTTATTTTATTTTTTCAGCACAGTTATGTATACGTTGGTGTTTGTTCAATAAACATAATTCTTGGAACCCAAAGTATGAATGGCTCATTCTCGATGATGACTCACAATTTCGCTGCGCTCAGAATGCTCAGAATTACAATCAAAGCGATAATGGAAAGTTTCAAGTTGCAAAAAATAAACAAACAAGGAAACACTTTGCCTCGATCATCATTTTAGGCACTGCTTGATGTTTTGATTGTGCCTTGAGAAAAGCGGCAGTTACAAATTAGCAACCATTTATTGGTGTGTATTTGTATTTGGGTTCGGCTTGGCAGAAGTATATTAGAGCAGACTATCGACAACTTCCAGTTCAAATCGACAGTCAATCAGAATCACATTAGGATAAAACGGAACAAGATCGCCACCCGGGACAATATATTGGTTTATAAAAAGCTATATTTTTGAAAACTGCGCATACGTACCCTTAAACAATGATCCTAAGATACAACGTTCCAAAAATGATTTAGAAATATTCAATAACTACCGAAACATTGATGAAAATATGCCGATCGAAAAAAAAGCCTCTCTTTGTAATAAGAATTTGCTATAATCAATATACCTTTTTTGTTTCGTTTGTTACAACTTTTAATCAATGTTTCAACTTCGTGGTGGTATTTTATTTTGATAAACTAAGAAAAAAAACTTAAAAATATCACCCTAACCGACTACTTTCAACATTCTAGATGATTCATGAAATATTGACGCATGGGCCCGCTCCTAGGCGTGGGAATGTTCGACTCTAAAAATAATGTACATGCCTCAAAAGTCTTAAAAAAAAAATTGGGAGTCCCCAAATCATGAAGATTTTTGTTAGTTACCTAGCAATGTTAAAAAATTTTTCTTTGTCCAAGACAGGCTTGCTTCCACTCATATGCTATAAAAATAATATGTTCAGAATTTTGGAATTATTAGATGTTAATAATGATATTTTGTACTTGTTAAATACAAGAATCGGTTGAAAGACAAGTGTTACATACATTAATTTGCTTTCAGATAGTCACAATCAGCGATTTTACGACTCGCGAGCGCTCAGTTAAATGTTTTCATGTTTAAAATTTTGAAACAATTTTGATACTAATTCTTCACTAATCACAGCGTTCGACTTTGTCACTTCCAAAAAAATAGTTCATAACTTTGTAACTCTGCAAAATTTAATATTGTCTATGTGAATGATAACAATATTGTTGGGCACAGAAAACGACGCTCTTTCAGCTGATATATAAAACTGGTGTTTTTTTAAACTAAACAATCCAAATCTGGACTTGGGAAATTTGTTAGGACCACAATATAATAATAAATAATTTAATATATTTTTATTGATTTATCTTGTGATTTTTTTACAAGATCAAAAATAGAGGCGAAAATGGAAAGTCCTTAGCAAGTTTACTTAATTTGGTAAAGTGATTAAGTCCGAAAAAGTTTTTGAAATTTCTCAAAATCCAAGAAAGTCCTGACAATTTTACATGTCCGGGAAAATGTTTCACTTAATTATAAATTTATAAAATCAACTATTAAACACTTACCTTACGCTCGGGATCCTTCTTATCGAGGATAAGCATCATTTTCGTATCCGCTTCGTAGAAAGTTACGTCGGAAGGAGTGAAGTTTAGCAACCGAACCATAACCGATTTTCCATAGTCTTCCGAGGTAAAAATTGCCTTATTCCTCGGATCGGTGAAAACTATCTGTAAATTAGAATTTCATAACGCAATCATGATTGAATCCGACCATATTTTTTTTCATGTTACCGTGTTAAATTTAGGATGTGTGAAAAATTGCTCCACTGTTGAGCTCACAGCTGTCCCATTGATGTCGAGTGTAAACATGGCCGTTTGGTCATCAAAGGTGTCGCCATAGTCTTTTGAAACGAATATCTTCGATGGCTGCGGAGGCGGTGCTTTGGCATCGTTGTCAGCTGGTGGTTCTCGTGCCAAGCAAATCATCACGCTCGTACCTTCGCCAAGCCAGTGCACAATCAGCTGAGCATGTGAATCGTTTAGCATATTCACCTGGAAAGACACGGAGACAAAAGGAAAATGCTATCATATCTTGAAAACAGTGAGCGCATCATACTTTCATCTTCTCTTAAAGAAAAAGAGCAGTAGTAGGGATGACATTAAAAATATGTGTTACCGTTATAAAGCCTAGACTGACGACTTAAATGAAACCACAACATTCATTTCCCATCAATACTTTTCATGGTCATCCGAAGATGAAGAACAGGAAAGGAAAACGGAGAATACAAAATCATTGAGCCCAAACATGGATTGAAGGCAAAAAAAAACGAGGCGCCACAACACAGCCGGCATCTGGTTCCATTGCATAAGTAAACGCACATTCTTCGAAAATGCTAATACAGGCAGGTTTTTTCATCTTGCGCTACCGAAAACCTGTTGAAGTAGGTTATAATTTAGGAGTCATGATTTTCTGCAGTTCTGTTCTCATTGCAATTTTGTAACGAAGAATGGGAAAATGTCTTTATGTCATATTTCTCGAGTATCATTTGAAATGGGCATATGTCCAAAACATAAACAAATCGGATTTTGATACCATTCTTCAGTACCGCTTGATAGCTACTAATCGTGTAGAAAAGTTCCGCATAATCGAGAAAATAACTCAATTTTCGAAACGGCCGATCAACGAAAATTTTAGATTCATTAATAGGCCGGAACGCTAAAACGGCCAACCATTCATTTATTTCATTTCATTGATAAGCCTAGTGACGTAGAAGGGCTGATGATTGAAAAATATCAAACCAATGCTAGGCCCTACTGCTTGAGGCAGGGCCGATGATTTGTTTTGAATTTATTTGACGTTGCGAAAAGGCTTAGCAACGGGCCTACCATTTCGGATGACAAGCACAACGGCTTAACAAAAAGGGCCTATCCATTGAAAGATTCACAAAAAAGGCTTATTAATTTATGAAATTATATTGTTATCGATGTTCATATATTTTTGAAACCTTTTCGCATATTTGGGATGTTGTATACTGAGATACAGTTACTATTGTTATTGTGAACAATATAAATGCCTAAAATACTTCAATTTTCTTAAATATGAATTGAATAGTGGCGGTCAAAATTTAAAATTCATTTTCTGGTTTGTTTACGTTTTGGACATAGGCCCATTTCAAATGTTACTCTAGATTTCATTGTTATCATGGTTGAGATCATGGTATCAACACACCAAATATTACAAATTAGCTATTGCTGATTGCATCTGAAACTGGATAGTCCCAAAAATGCAAAAAGTGTGATAAAAGTGCACGTTTCCGTCAAATCGTTTTGATGCACCGAAGACACCAAGACGATTAGACGTAAATTTGCAATTTTATCACACTTTTTAATAAGTGAAAACGCGCTTATTAGTCCAATTTGGTGAGAAATGCGCAATATATGGTCCACTCTTCTATTAAGACACGGTTTTCCCCGACACTAGCGCCACTTATGACACGAAAGTGACTAGTACACCGTAAATTGAGCGCATAGCAGTTGACAACCAATAGCAACAAGGCTATCGAAAACAACTCACAATTGAGTAAAGTTGTACTCAGTATTGTGAAAAATTAGACTATAAACTACTCATCATGCACGACTTTTTTCCATCGATTGCACATACACGAATGCTCTATAGTCCAGTTCACAACAATCACCTTTTCGTTTTTGTTTTAACGTATGATGGAGGAAGCTAGTATCTAGAGCAATATTTGAAAAGGGTATGTGTGCCAAATGTAAACAATTACTTTAAACGTCGATTTCTCGTGAATATAGACTCATTCTGGCAAACCGACACCACGCACTTAGTTTTTTTTTCTATCGAGCTCAGCTGTGCAAATATCGGCAAAAATAAGTTTCACTGAGATCTCAGCAAAAGTGACATTTGAAATGAAATGTTTGCTGATATCTCAGTAAAACTTTTTTGCCGAGATTTGCACAGCCGAGCTTGGTAGAAAAAAAAAACTAAGTGCGCAGCATCTGAGAGAAAGCTTATGGTATAGTTATTTTATGTGGGCGTGTTGCAATTCGTGAACAATCGACATCGAGTTTAAATGCATTGTTTACGTTTGGCTTGTATGCCTTTTTCACATGTTGTTCGAGAACGTTCTTGTGAACTCAAATCTGTGTGTATACGACCAAAGAGAATAGCTCAGACAGAGAGTCACTTCTACTCAGTTGCATGAGTAATTTCTAAAAATGTCAGCTACTCAGCACTGGGTTCACATGTATCATAATCTGCCTTTAAACTGATAGTACGTTCAGACTGTAGCTGATACCACGTAATAAAGGCTATCTTGATATTATATTTACGTTGATATCACGTAATAGTCTGAACATAGTATAATGTCATGAAGTCAAGGTAGGCGTGTAAGAATGCATGAGAAAGCTAATTGTTTATTGTTTATTGTTGTTTTACATCAACAGGCTGGATGCATGGTCATAAGTTATGACGTCGAAAGTTTTGCTCCGTTTTTCGCCGGCAGGAGTAACTGACTGTAAGATATATGTTTTTTTAAATGTTTTTTTATGTTATGACTCATAACATAAAAAACATATATCTTACAGTCAGTTACTCCTTCCGGGTAAAAAACGGAGCAAAACATTCGACTAAGCGCATCACGGGTGAGATGAAAGTCAAAGACAGATGCAACTCTGTTGAATACTCTCTGCAGTCCGGAAATCACACCGTATGCTCCATAATTTGTGCGACGTAACAGCAGTCTTAGCATAAGGTTGTTACGAAGCCGGGGTTGAACATTCTGATCAATTTGCGACAGGATAGCCTCGCAATTTGTTCTTCCCTGCAGGATGTGGGCCCCTTCCCTTCTAGTCCGAAGAGGTTCTAGGTCGACAAGTTGACAACGGCTTTCGTAACTGGGTAATAGAAACGGATCATTCCAAGGCAATCTACGTAGCGCAAAACGAAGAAAACGACGTTGAACATATTCGATTCTCTAAGCTCTGTTGTTGTAGTTTGGGTTCCAAGCCGCTGAACAATACTCAAGCGTCGATCGAACAATTGTTCGCTTGTTCGATCGAAGCTTGAGTATTGAGAGATTTTAGACAGTAGATATCACTGAAGTGTTTAGCTATCCTAAAAATGAACCCTAAAGTTCTTGACGCCTTATCGACGCAATGTGTTGCTTGAATGAAAGTTGTGAATCCAACGTCACACCCAGGTGTTTCACCTGATTCACGCGTTCGATTGTCGAGCCAAGCAGGTGATAGCTAAATATTATCGGTTGTTATTTTCGTGAGAACGTGGCTGGGTTCACTACCATTTTGTTTAAACTGCACCAACTAGCGAAAACATTCAGTTGACGTTGAAGAAAGTGACAGTCAACAATCGAGCGGATTCGTAGGAAGATTTTGAGGTCATCTGCATATGATAACCGAGGAGCTTCGATTACCAGATGTACGTCGTTGAAGTACAGTTGAAAAATAAACGGTCACAGGTGACTTCCCTCCGGTATCTAGGTATCTCCCATAGCAACCTTTAGTTGGCGACTGATAAGATACGATCGAAACCAAATCAGAAGATTACCGCATACACCGTGCCTGCCGAGTTTAGCAAATGGCAATAGCATGATTCAACTTCTCGAATTTTGCGGATAGGCCTGAATTAATAACGTGCTTTCGGTAATATACGATGTGAGACACAGCAGATTGCAAGAACAACATGTGAAAAGGGCATACAAGCTTTTTGTAAACAAACATGCTTATGCTCTTTTCTCGCCACCCATATGACACCAACGCAAACCATCAACATCGCCGGATAGGGGAAGGTTTCCCCTTCCCGATGATGTTGTTAGTTTGCGTGGGCGACCCTCGGTTGGCGAGAAGAGGGCCTACAAAGGTTTGTTTACAAAAAGCTTGTATGCCCTTTTCACATGTGGCTCTTGATTGGTGGTCGTAGAGCGGTCGACAGTCAGGGGTTGAAACAGTTGACGTTTTTTACGACACTCGCTTCTTTGTCGTGCGCGACAGTCTGTTTGAAATCGTACACTCATGCTCTACCGTCGTCTCTCTCACACAACACAACCGGTAGAATAACATTCGAGCAAAAAGAAAATTTTCAAATAACTATCATGTGACATGTGTGATTTGGATCTAATTCCTCAATTTGGTGTAAATTAAACCATTTATGATCAGAAATGTTATTCCTAGGACATCATTGCTTGCTATTTTCAGAATTCACACAAGCACAACATCAGCAGCTCTTATTCTGAGAAAAACTAAAATACATACATTCGTGACGGTATTCGGCGACAGTGTCGTATGACAGAGCATGTTAAATGACATTTGAGTTTGGTACTGTACTATGATAGCTCGTTTTGTAAGTGTCGGAGGCAAAGACAGTCGATTATCACAGAAAATGTGTCGACTACCGTGACCGCTTACAAGACTGTCGACAGTAAACCCATGTTGATCAGCACTCAAATACTGCTAGCAATGGAACAGCAACGGTTCCATAATCACTAGCACGAATAGCTTCGAAAAGACTGACTTCACGATGTAATTCCTCGACAGTTATCGGCAGCTCGTTTCCTTCCCTTTTGTGAAGGATGGAAATATGATATTATATTATTATATTAATATAATTAATAGGGGAAGTGCACCAGTATTGGCCATAGGTTCCTATTTCGGCCACACCTCAGAAAATCGATTAAATTTCAATATTCCTGCATTGTGTGGTCGAAATATTTATGTACACCGATGAATACGATTTGTACCAACAAACTGATCGCAACTGAACACCTCACAATTGTAAACAACGTGAAATATCCTCAAATGGTGGCCAAATTAGGAAGTTATTCTGTAAAGTATTCCCAATCGAGATTTGGTGAAATTTGAGCAATATTTGAAAATCGTGGCAAGCAAATGATTAGATTCGTTTCGTTTCCCATATCCCGCAAATCCAGAGCATAACCAAATTCGTTCAAATTTAGCACCATTGTTGGGAACCTCAATACACATCGGAAGAGCAATGGGGAACAGGGTGTTGCTAGTAT